AGAAAAGTCTCTAAAGTCAACAAATAGGAAACTTCACAGCCACTGTTACTCGCTTTCTTGGCCTCTTATCATTTTTGAATCCTCGGCCTCATGATAAGTTGTTTGAGAAAAAATATAAACAAACTTCCCCTCAGTCTCAGCGCCGGGGAGTAGTTCATTCGCCTCGGACCCTGAGTGTCCGGCTCGGCAAAAATCTCGCCTCGGACCCTAAGTGTCCGGCTCGGCAAAAATCTCGCCTCGGACTCTAAGTGTCCGGCTCGGCAAAACCTCCCCTCAGGCTCAGCGCTGGGGAGTAATTCATTTAACCTCCCCTTAGTCTCAGCGCCGGGGAGTAGTTCATTCGCCTCGGACCCTGAGTGTTCGGCTCGGCAAAAATCTCGCCTCGGACCCTAAGTGTCCGGCTCGGCAAAAATCTCGCCTCGGACTCTAAGTGTCCGGCTCGGCAAAACCTCCCCTCAGGCTCAGCGCCGGGGAGTAATTCATTTAACCTCCCCTCAGGCTCAGCGCCGGGGAGTAGTTCATTCGCCTCGGACCCTAAGTGTCCGACTCCGCAAAAATCTCGCCTCGGACCCTAAGTGTTCGGCTCGGCAAAAATCCCGCCTCGGACCCTAAGTGTCCGGCTCGGCAAAACCTCCCCTCCGGCTCCGCGCCAGGGAGTATTTAATTCGCCTCGGATCCTAAGTGTCCGAGACAGCTTCGGACCCTAAGTTTCCTATTCAGCAATATTCCTCCACAATTCAGTGCCGAGGATCAATTCACCTCGGATTCTAAGTGTCCGAGACTGCTTCGGACCCTAAGTGTCCTATTCCTCCACACTCAGTGCCGAGAAACAATTCGCTTCAGACCTCTGGTGGCCGGATCAGAACTTTTTCCTCCGGACTCCAAGTGTTTAATACCCTGTGGGTGTGGATATATCATAAGTTCATCATGATCCACCCCACATCAGGAACACACGAGAAAGAAAGAGTATGTATACGTCTACTGTAGGCAAGTCAAAGGCAAGAAGAGTTCACGTAACAGTTAGATCATTATCCATATGAGTCATCCTGAGATATCAATTAAACTGTTAAAAGGATCTCTTTCTTCCCACCATCCTTGCTTTTTCTCGGATAGCATAAATCCGAAGCATAAAGACAATGTGTTTTGTTTGTCATAAAAACATTACCAGTCAGAAAAGTATGAACAATATCAAAAACATACAGCAAAAACAAATCAGGTATTGAAAGCCTAAAACAAAAATTATATTTATTATCCCAAACATACTGTCAATAAAAACGAAATACATAGTTCTACTTCCTCTTCGGATCGAAGGGAGTAGATTCAAAAGCATCCACTACAGTAGGACTTGGGGTAGGAGGAATTGAAGCCGCAGGGGTAGAAGAGCTAGGAGTACCCTTCAGGTGCGCCTTCACCATCTCGGCAAAGCGGATTTCAGCTTCCAAAGCCTGTGGCCCTTCATCATATGGGAAGTGCACCCCCACCTGCTTGTCAAAAGCGTTCGGATCCATCGTCCTAGGGCTCGAGCCCTGATGATAGCCAGACCGGAACGCTTTAGCACTAGCCAGGTGTGCCAGACAGGAGTAGTGCCCCTGTATTTGCTTCCCCGCCTTGAAGCAAGTAGTAAGAGCCTCGGTCAAGCGTTGAATTTCGGCCTGAAGAGAATCCACCTTAGCCTCAGAGGTAGCCAACTGCCTCTTATACACATCCTTGGCTTCAGAAGCTATCTTCAGATTGGTAGAGGCAGTGGTGGCTCTCTTCTCTGCATTGTCAAGATCCTTCTCCAGCTTCTTGATGGAAAGGGATTGGGCTTCAGCAGTGGCGCAGAGGGCCATGGTGTGCTATAGACCCTGTATAACAGAGGAACAAATATGAGCATAAATGGAAACATGAGTAAGCAAGAGTAACATAATTCTGAAGGAGCAATACGAACCTCTATGGCCCGGACCGGGGAGGAGGGGAGTAGCTGTTCCAATCCCATTTGGCCGATGGCTTCCTCGTCCTTTAGGAGCCACATCCCTCGGGCCACAGCTAGTGCAGCTGAAGGGTCTGTGATCACAGAATCCCCTGAATGTAGGACTGACTTGTCAGCCCTGGTGAAGGAAGGAGTCCAAGGAGCCCCAGTTTCAGCCAGAACAAATGCCCTGACTTCATCTTCAGGTTCGGCCTCTCCAGCCTTTTTCCTTCTGTTTTTAGAAGGGACCTTGCCCTTGCCAGAGGATGAGGGGTTGAGGCGAGATTTCTTTATTGGTGGTTCCTCAGCCTCTACTTCACCCTCAATAGACCTAATAACGACCAAGGGTTGGGCATCTTCGGCTTTCTTTTTTAAAGCCTCAGCCCTCCGTATCTCCTCCTCAGTCATGGGGAAACTATCAAAGGATGGTAGAGACAGATCCATGAGGTCTGCAGCAACAGCACTGGAGGCAATATCCTTGAGGTTTGAAGAAGTTAGCAGGTCCTCGATAGGCGAGGGGTCACTCCAGACTCGGTCCTCAAGAAAAGAAAGTCTATTCCTTGCTGCGGAGGATGGGAATGTAGCTGAAAAAACACCAAGAAACTCATAAGTACGGCGAAACATTAAGACTTGGCAAGGAAAACAGGCAGAACACTTGGTATGAAGGGAGGTTAAGTATTCTATACCTAATTTCCCGAATTTGCGCGGGATGGGGAGTGTAATTGATCGAGGCACGAACCATTTTCCTTTAACTATAACCATCATTTCTTTCCACTTCTTCTCGGATGAAGGAAGGTTCGTGCATATCCTCTGATGAAGGGGAGAGGTAAAAAAGAAGCGGCCAGGCTCGGTCCCATGCTTAGATATATTATAAGTAAGCAGAAGGTCGGCAAAGGTCAAATCCAGAGCCTCTAATTTCCGGTGCACCAACAGTGCAGAAAGGATGCGAAAGAAATTAGGGTTTACCTAAAGGGGGGCAAGACCTAACTTGTTGAAAACTAAATGATAGAAGGGGTGAAGAGGGAACCGGAGGGCGCTAAGATGCCCTATCGAAAGAAGCAATTCACTCTCTTCAATTCCCTTGCCGGAGGTAAAATCGACACCCTCGGGATATTCTACAATTTCTACTCCCTAAGGAATATCAAATTCTTCCATTACCGAAGCAATAGAGAACTTGATGCGGCGAATAGAGATGATTGCTTTCCTCTCTTCATGAGTAAGAACATTATCAGAGCCTGAGGTGGATGTCTCGGCTGGAAGGGGGGAAGTACCTAATTGATTCAACGAAAGACGATCTGTAGAAACCCTAGGAGGGGGAGCCCTAATGCGAATGGGGGAAGATGAAGGTGTGGATTCAGAATCCCCAATGTCTATACGTTCGGGAGTAGATGAAGTACTCATAATGAAAGATTGAAGAGAAAGATGTGAAAAAAAAAAACTAACCTAACAAGGTGATGGAATGAAGAACGCAGGAGGGCAGCAAGGGCGAATGTAACTCTTGTAGAATCTTGTATAACGGAGTAATAAAGAAAGACCTCGAACCGTTTTTGAAGCAAAATAAAAAACCGGTTTCAATTCCTTCTTTAATGGGAGCCGTCACTCAATTAAAAATGAAATTTGGGGCAAAGCATGGAGGGAAAAAAACTCCTTTCAATAAAAAGCGCACACGTAATCACTACACATATCTACATTCCAAGGACATATAAGGCCCATCATGCTCAAGCCCAAATTGAGGGTATTTTTAGCCCAAGACCATTGTTATTTGTCCTCTAACCTCCATCAAGGCCGAATCAAGAGGTCATCAGTCCAACTTGTTAACATTTAACATCCGGTCCGTTACCCAAACCCAGCCGGATCAAAGTATGTTCAGCCCAGTTATTCAAGAATGCACAAGTCCTACTAGTTGAAGGATTTACCGTAGAAGGAAAATTCTGAGATAGGAAGTTCTATACAAGGCAAGTTCTATGTATGGAAAATTAAACAATGGAAAGAACTCTATTAGTAAAGAATGTTTATATAGAAAGAATTGGAGGGCAAGCAACGCGAGTCCTACCATAATTTTACAATCTTTTGTATATAAATAGAGGCTTAGACCTCCAATAAGGAAATCAAGTAATTCTACGCTTCGATATATATTGTTCTTGTTTATTTTTACTATTGATTGAGTGAGTTGTTTTATTTTTCTTAATCATTATTGGTTGATCGAAATTCTGCACCTACAGTCCCTAATCTGGATTTTCATGAGTATATTTCTAAAATTTTGTGGTTATTTAATGAACATAGTTTTGTGAATATTTTATTTTTTGAATTCATTTATTGCCAAATAGCGTAAGTGATTTTTGTACTAGCTTCGATTCTATCCCGTTTCTACCATCTTCCTGTTGTTTCCATTCTATTCTGTCTCTTCAATTTGTGCTCTCTCTCTCTTTAACTTTAGAAGACAACTCTAATATGTGGTATGTTTCTAAATCTTTATAGGTATGTTTCTGAATTGTAGTGGCTAATTCAAGAACAGATTTTTTGTAGGTGTTATTATGGAAGATTATGCATTTGGCATTCCCATTACAAAATGCATGTTCCCATGAGATTCATTAATTATAAGTTTCATTATTTATAAGTTAATTGAACTCCCTTAAACGAATTTGCAATCTTGTTTATATTTGATTTTGCAAACCAGCATAAACAAATACTCTGATTTCTCTCGAAATCAAGGATAGGCAAGAACCGAAAAGGAAAAAGATGAAGAGAGATGAGAGATGGGAAATCGCAGGGAGGGAAAATCATGTGGTCATAACTTTCAACCTTAGAAAGAAAACCAATTATATATATATATATATATATATATCCAGCATTTTTTTTCTTAGTTAAGGGTACGATGTGGCATAGCCACATAAGAATTGGAAGCAAATCAGATGTTTTTAGTTGGACCCCTATCACGGATTGATTTTTTTTTTTTTTTTTTTTTCAAAGTGAAAGGTGTGAATTTAAGTGACCTTAAAGACACATGAATGTGTAGATTTCTTGTTTTAAAAAATAAACAATAAAGTACCTGGGGAAGCTGCATCGACAACACTTATGAACTTGAACGTGAAAGGCAACCACAATAAGATGAAGAAAAGCGAGGAACGTAGACAATGCTTGCAGTCCATTTTGCAACTTCTCGTCCCAAATGCAGAGGTTTGTTCGATCACTTGCTTGCTGATTTATAGGGTTGCCTAAATCTTACTAACCCAAAAAATAATAATAATAAATAGATTGCTTAGTCTCCAAAGCAAAGTAATATATAAATGCAGTGAGGTCATACACAGCAACTACGCCCAACAATTGGGCGAATGATAAATAGTCAAGTGAGTTCAAAATATTAAATTATATAGTATGTGTGTATATATATAAGTATATTATTATTTGAAATAGAGTGAGAGATGGTGAGAACTTTCCTGGAAGGAACAGATAATTATTATGTTTACCATTTCAACTATAGTATTATTTTAATAAATTTTTAATTAAAAGGGAAAAAAATAGATTATAGAACGTGGTTACGTGGATACAATAAATACTTTGCAAGAACACTGATTACTACTGTTAACTGGTGAAAAAATATATATATATATATATATATATCGTTGTGATTAAGTTTCTTGTTATTGCTGTAAAAGTATATCTTTTTACCTTAAATAAAGGAAAATAAGAATTCTGCATGTATTTGATTAAAATGAAAACACGTAAGAAAGTTGTAAAAATAATATCAATTAACGTGTTTTTTCTTAGTGATTTATGTAATTCATTTCATACCTTTTTCTGAGCCATGAAATTACATGACAAGAGTCTTCTTGTTTTGAGCTCATATTTTCAGTTATTGAATTGAGAGTTCATCTCTCACTGCTAGGATGTTAAATTGAGCTATTTTAGTCTGATACGGATTAGTTGGTGCTTTATCTAATTTGATATCATCACCTAAGGAATCAGTCTAATAAATCTATATCTCGTTCAAATAATTCCATATGATAATCCGATCTATATATATATATATATATATATTACAAGACAAGAAGAATTAGAAATTAAATTAATAGATATAGAGAGTCCAAGCCTGCCAAATAAATGTATGGTCCGATACATGCTTAATGTCACGGACTTGGAACTTATCAAGTTGAGTGGCACCTGTGTGGCGTAACCTCTGGTTGCGGGGCGTAACATTAAGCTCCCTATTGGGCTTGTCCCTTATTGTTCTTGTATGTTTCTTTTCTCTGTTTAATAAAATTTATTTAACCAAAAAATAATAATAATAACAAAATTGAGAACCCAAACTTGTTTATCCCAAAGAATTTTTTTTTTTTTTTTTTTCTGACAAAATAATAAATATCAGAATTTTACTTTGATTTAGAATGCTATCGTTTGTTAAATGTACAATGGTCCTAGATAAATTATTATATTAAGCAAGAATTTCATACAAATTTAAAAGAAAAACCAAGTATTTTTAAGTATCATAGGTTGCAATAAAGAAAAAATAGTTGAAGAGAGGATTGTAGTCTGTAAAGATACAGAGTGCCCATTGATATAAAAAAAAATTAAAAAAAAAATAAAAAAGAAGAAAAGAAAGAGATTAAATTAAAAAGTGAATTTTAGAACTGTGCGATAATTTTAGAATTTTAAAATTTAATCGGTATAAAATAAAAATATAAATAGAGAAATTAACTGATGAAATAAAAGAGACACCTAGTTGATGAAGACAAGTGCAATAAACAAAAGAGGTCAAGCACAAAAGGCCTAAGAGAGGGGCAAGTCTTTAAATTCAATCCTCGTTTTGGGACGTTGTTTTATGTCAAAGACTTTTAAATGCATTGAATAACAAAATAAATAGACTATGAATATGAATCTACCCTTTTCTTTGGGTTTCCACGAAAGCATACAACGCAATAGGCATCAAGGTCCCCACAATGTCATGTCTTTCAACTTAAGACCCATGTTCTGAGAGTGACATGAAATTAAAAGTTCTACAAGTGCTTAATTTGCAAAAATGTTTATAGTATGCATGCATACATATATATATATATATTAAAATAATAATAATAATAAAGAAATAAAACTTTTGGTTTTCATACAATTTTCAAACTTAACCAAGAATAATTAGTTTTTCAGCTAAATTGTGTGATACAATCATACAACAATTGCATTGGCTTTAATCATTTTACTAAAATAAATATGAATCCTTAAATATTTGCAATTAGAATTTACTAATTTAGCAACACTATGGTAAAGAGAGAAAAATCAACTTCGGTAACTTTCCTCGATTATGTTTTTTTCGATACTTTGTAGCAAATGTACCAAAAGAGTGCTTTGTTTACAGTTACAGAGTTCGTTTTTATACACCATTGATAGAGTTGAAAGTTTAATGCCGACATTATTTGGTGGGTGGTTGACATGGCCGGTGTGAATTTCATAAAAAATAATAATAATAATAAAAATTTTAAAAAATTAAAAAATGGAAGGAAATAAGATTGATAAATTATTGATATATCCGTCAGTGGGGCCAGTTATTATTGAATTATGTATAGCATGATTATGCGTTTGAGCATGGGATGGAAAATATTAGTAGTAAGTAGCTCCAAATATATCATAGAAAATTGGCGGTGACTTTGAAAGGAATTAATTGGATGATGTGAATAAATCCAAGGGAAGGGCCCCTCCCCTGTAGTTTCTCCGAAACAAGAGGAACACTGCTGTCACATCTTATTCTTATCAAAATGTAGCTCAGGTACCATTCAGTTTAGGGAAAAAATCTTCTCCGGGCACCCTCTTACTGGAGGGTGTCCATTGCTAACATGGAAGCGTGACATGACAAGTTGGTAAAAAAAGTATTTACTTTATTTATATATATACTATTATGTATATATGTGTAGAAGAAGTTTATATAGTTATGGACAAATACAAGCTTAAATTTCCCTCCAAATATTGTTACTTCTTTTCCCCCCAAATTCTCAAATCTTATTCCCCCCAAGTGTCTGAAATTCTGCCCTCTCTCTCTCTCTAATTGAAGTCATGAAGAATCCGGTGACTGACCAATATTCCGGCAGCTGAATAACAATCCGGCCAAAGTTGAAGCTATTGAAATGATCTCTCTCCCTCGGTCTGTATATCCAGCGAATGGCCAAGGTTCGTACAGGTGATTGTCCCTCTTAAATTGAAGTTTGAAGTCTCTGGCGAAAGACGCTTCGTTCATGTCTCTCTTCCTCTGAAATTCAATTCTCCGTCTGAAATTGAAGCTTCGTTCAGGTCTGTCTCCCTCTGTCTCCCCAAAAGTAAAATGTTTATTCACAAATTTTGTATCATTATTTGTATCTGAAATTTTTTTTGTATCATTATGAAGAACTGAAGGTGAAGCTTTTGAAATGGTCTGTCTCCATCAGTCTATCTATCCGGCGAATGACTAAGCTTCGTTCAGGTGTTTCTCCGGCTGAAATTGAAGTGTGAAGAATCCGGCCAAAGACCAAGCTTCGTTGACGTCTCTCTTCCTCGAAAATTCAACTCTCCCTCTGAAATTCAAGCTTCCAAGCTTCGTTCAGGTGTTTCTCCCTCTGAAATTGAAGTCTGAAGAATCCGGCCAAAGACCAAGCTTCGTTCACGTCTCTCTTCCTCTGAAATTCAACTCAAGCTTCCTACACATTGTCCGTCTTCAAATAAGCATATATATTTGTACAAGAATTTGGTTTGTTTGTTTTTCTACATTTTTTTAAATTTCAGTGAAACTAAATTTTACTTTGTTTGTTGTTCTGCATATGTATTAGAAAATTTGCAGAGTCTATAGTTTTATTTACATGTTATTTATAAGTTTATTTTACATGGTATAATCACTAAATTTGTGATATATTACTAATTTTGTTTTACATTTGGGTTATGAAATACAAAACCCCTGAATTATATACGATTCAATGAAGACACAAAAAAATAGTGTGAGAGAGATAATATTTTTTACAGTGGACATATGTGTTTACATATAATTTATAAGTCTATTTCTCATCTGATTATACTAATTGAAATTGTGATGTATTAGGGCATTTGTTTTGTATTTGGTTTTTTAAATAACCCTTGAATTAATTTTGATTTAATAAATTAAGACACAACAAAACAGTGTAAAGTGTGATAATATTTATAGCAGTGTAGATATGTGTTTACATGTAATTTATAACCCTATTTTACATGTGATTATAGTAATTGAATTTGTGATTATAGCAATTGTGAATGTGATATATTTTGTATGACATGTTCATATTAGTAGTGCCACATGTTGGAAAAGTGTATGAATGTGTGGACATGCATTATATGACTCTATCTGTTAAAATCAAGTAAAGATGTTAGGTTAAAGATGTGATGTTTTATTTTTTAAATTGTTGACACTTCTGATGTTTAAGGTTATGTTCTCCATTTCAGAAGTTCATTTGTTTCCCACCTTAAATGATTTTCCTTTATGAGGTTAAGTTGAAGTACGTTATGAATAATTTTGTATGACATCGTCATATAAGTAATGCCACATGTTAGAAAAGTATATGAATAGATGTTAAGTAAAAGATATGATATTTTTTTATTGAACTGTTGATACCTGTTTGTATAAGGTTATGTTGTTCAGTTGTAAAATTCATTTGCTTCCCACTTTAAATGCCTCTATGAGTTTCAGTTGAAGTATATGAGGAATAATTTTGTATGGTATGTCCATATAAGTGGTGTCACATGTTGGAAAAGTGTATGAATGTGTGCACATGTATTATATTACTCAATCTGTTAAATTCAGGTCATAATGTTAGGTAAAAGTTGTGATAGTTTATTCATTACATTGTTGACACTTGTTTGTAAAAGGTTATGTTGTTGAGTTGAAAAGTGCTTTTACTTCCCACTTGAAATGATTTGCCTTAATGAAGTTTAGCTGATGTATGTTAGGAATAATTTTGTATGACATGTCCATATAAGTGGTGCCACATGTTGAAAAAGTGTATAAATGTTTGCACATGAATTATATTACTCAATCTCTTAAATTCAGGTCATGATGTTAGGTAAAAGTTGTGATAGTTTATTCATTACATTGTTGACACCTATTCGTAAAATGTTATGTTGTTGAGTTGAAAAAGTGCATTTGCTTCCCACTTGAAATGATTTGCCTTAATGAGGTTCAGTTGATGTATGTTAGGAATAATTTTGTATGACATGTCCATAAAAGTGGTGCCACATGTTGGAAAAGTGTATGAATGTGTGCACATGAATTATATTACTCAATCTGTGAAAATTAGGTCATGATGTTAGGTAAAAGTTGTGATAGTTTATTCATTACACTGTTGACATGTGTTTGTAAAAGGTTATATTGTTGAGTTCAAAAGTTGTGATAGTATATTAGGAATGGAATAATTTTGTATGACTTGGTCATATATGTTGTGGCACATGGTGGAAAAGTGTATGAATGTGTGGACTTACATTATATTACTCTATTTGTTAAAATCATGTGAAGATATTAGGTTAAAGATGTGATGGTGTATTTATTAAACTGTTGATACCTGTTTGTAAAAGGTTATGCTGTCGAGTTAAAGATGTGATGGTGTATTTATTAAAATGTTGACATCTGTTTGTAAAAGATTATGCTGTCCAGTTCAAAAGTTTTTTTGATTCCCATTTTAAATGCTTTTCATTTATGAGGTTGGTTGAAGTATGTTAGGAATAATTTTGTATGACATGTTCATATAAGTGGTGCCACATGTTGAAAAAGTGTATAAATATATGTTAGGTAAAAGATGTGATTTTTTTTCAGTAAACTGTTGACACCTGTTTCTAAAAAGTTATGTTGTTCAGTTCAAAAGTTCATTTGCTTCCCACATGTTGCACAAGTGTATGAAAGTGTGGATATGCATTATATTACTATCACTTAAATTCATGTCAAGATGGTAGTTAAAAGATGTGATGATTTATTTATTAAAGTGTTGATATGTTGTTCAGTGCAAAACTTCATTTAATTCCCACTATAAATGAATTGCCTTTATGAGGTTCTGTTGAAGTATGTTAGGTTTTTTTTTTTGTATGATAACTTCATATAAGTACTGTCACATGTTGGAAAAGTGTATGCATATGTGGATATGCATTATATTATTCTATCAATTTGATGTGCAGATGTTAGGTAAAATACTTGATGTTATGTTTATTAAACTGTTGCTACATGTTAGTGAAAGGTGGTGATAGTTGAACTATGCTAATACTTACGTGTTATGCTTACATTTGTAGGTTTTATATTTAAGTTATGGCCATGGAAGATGGAACTATTAATATTGAAGATATGGAAGATGGAACAATTAATATTGAAGATACAGATAGCGAATCAGATTATGAGGTACATGAAGTACAATGTAAACCATGTCTTGAAATGGAGTTTGATTTTGAAGATGCGGCGTATGATTTTTACAACAATTATGGTGGCAGAGTCGGTTTTAGTATTTGGAAGGAGTACGCAAATAAAAGTCGGAAGGATGGAAAAATAACATCTAGGTTGTTTGTTTGTAGCAAGGAGGGTTTAAGAAACCAAGGGCTGAAACACGCACAAACTATGGTGCACGCATGTTTGTAAGGTATGATGTTGGTTTGCAAAAGTTCATTGTAAGACAGTTTGAAGAAAGTCACAACCATCCCCTTATCATGCAGCAGTGCACCCACATGATGCCATTGCAGCGAAAAATCAGCTCAGTGCAAGGTATTGATGTAGAGTTGGCTTGTGATTCTGGAATAGCAGTTCGTAAAGCCTTTGAATTAAGCTCCAGGTAAGTTGGAGGTAGAGAAGCAATTGGTTACACCAAGGTTGATGTACAAAATTATATTAGGACAAGAAGACAGAATGAGCTAGAGTGTGGAACGGCGGGTTGGCTCATGAATTATTTCCAAACTCATTCATGGGAAGATCCATCATTTTTTCATGCTATCCAACTGGACAAAGATACAATGATAACTAATATTTTTTGGGCGGATTCGAAAATGATATCAGATTATGGCCATTTTGGAGATGTGGTTACATTTGATACAACGTACAAACTTGTCCAAGGTAACAGACCTTTGGGTGTTTTTCTTAGTTTGAACCATCTTCGGCAGACATGTGTGTTTGGTGCCGCTTTCATGTATGATGAGACGGCGGATTCGTTTGCTTGGTTGTTTAATACATTCTTGAATGCAATGTCGCGTAAAGTGCCAAGGACAATATTGACTGACCAAGACGCAGCAATGGCAAAGGAATTAGCAGAAGTAATGCCCGACACAAATCACCATCTGTGTACGTGGCACCTCATGCTTAATGCACAAAAGCATATCAGCAACATGTCTGTTGGTGGGAAAGGCATAAAAAGTGTGATCTCCAAATTAATGTTTGACATTAAGGAACATAATAAGTTTTTACAGGAATGGTCTTTGATGGAAAGGGAATTTGGTATGGAGAATAATACATGGTTGGCTAACTTGTTTCATTTGAAACATGTATGGGCCAAAGCATACGTAAAAAATGTATGGTATGTTGGTATGCGTACCACACAGCTAAGTGTACCACACAGCTAAGTGAAAGCTTCAACAGTGGGTTAAAACAGTACTTATCTAGACAATATGCACTTCCAGATTTCTTCAAGCATTTCGACATGTTGTTGTACGACAAAAGGTACAAGGAGTATGAAGCTGAATATGATTTGGTCCAAAAGATGCCTAGGATGAAAACAAGATCTCCTATATTAGATCACGCTGGACATGTGTACACTGCTAACATATTTGAACTTTTTCAGGAACAATTATTAATAGCTTGTATGAGTTAGTATATCCTGAACTGCAATGACAATGGTAACGGGGAATATGTGTATGAAGTTACGCTATATAATCAGAAGGTGATACGGCAAATGATACGGACACGTGACAACCATTTGTCTTATTCTTATGGAAAGTTTAAAATGGAGGGTGTCATGTGCAGCCATACTCTACAAGTCCTCAGAGATAAGATGTATGCGAGCAAAATACCGAGCCGATATGTTTTGAAAAGGTGGACAAAAAATGCGGAGGACGGCAGGTTGGAAGAATTAATTGGCCCAGATGTGCTGACGGATCCTAGACTTGAGATGAGACGATGGCACAGAATACTTTGTCGTCAGCTCACAGAAATATCTTCCATTGTATCTCTCAGCCACGACGGATTCAATAATGTTTTGATGTAGCTTAGTAATTTGAAACAAATTGCGGAAGGATCAATACCTAATCACGGCTGCCACCAAAGACATTGTGCAAAGCATTCCAATTTGAATTTGAAGGGGATTGCCACCAAAGATACATCGAAAGGAAGAAGGCGTAGGTTAGTATCTGCGTTAGAAAAAACCATTAGAAAGAAGAAAAAGACTGACAACCGTAATTTGGAGGTACATACCCTTAGCCTTATCATGCATGTATTTAGCTTTATGTGCGTGGTTTTACTCTGTTATGTTTATCGTTTTATCTCTGTTGTCATTATACAATTTTTAAACAACAAACTCCTCATATCGTGTTATATAGAATTCCAATGGTGGCGTTGTTGCCAGAGTGATAGGTTGCAGTGCTGGTATTACCACCCCTTCATATATTTTACACAATATGAGTGTTCTTCTAAGTTTCACATATCCAAAAATATATGTACATCGTAACACTTGAGTTGATGGTTTGATTGTTTAAAGGGTGCTGAAATTCCATCACACATATTCATGTCTGAAGAATTTGATAGGGCAGGATGATAAGCGCCGAATACTGTATATTCAAGCACCCTAAATTACATTCACAAAGTCCATTAATTGATTATTTTATGTAGATTATCTCCATTTGCATGTTTTTGTACATTTTCAAGTTAAATTGCAAAAAGGAAGCAAAAATGATGCCTTGTGGAATTTTGAACAAAAAGGGTGCCAATTCTGAAATTCTGGCAGCAGTAGAACCTGACTTTTGTTGCCATTTTTGACCTAGCAAACTCAAGAACTGGACTTCCATCATAACACAAAAGATTTAGAGCTCTGAATCAGCTTTCCAAATCTTCAAGCGGTTCATCATTCGGAGTTCGGAGCAGAGAGTTAAGATCTTCTTACCAGAGGTGCGCAGAAATGCCTGGCAGCACTGAAGTTCTGCCTTTCTCCCCATTTTCGACCACTCAGAATTAAGAATTGGGTCTTCATCAAAACATGAAATTTTTAAAGATCTGAATCAGCTCTCCAAATCTTCAAACAGATCATCATTCGGAGTTTGGAGCACAAAGTTATGGTCATTCTTCCACAGTGGGTCAGAGATGGGCAAGAATTGCATGTTGCTCATTACACTAATTTCGAGTGCTCGAGACCACCCTTCGAGTGCTCGAAATTCTGGCAGATTGCACTCGGAAATGGCTCAATTTCAGCCACTTGCACATTGGTTTCCTCAATGCCATCTTCCTTCTTTATGAAGTGGTTGGAGGTGTTCCTTGGAGGGGAGAGAGCCTTGACTTGAGCTTGATAAGAGAGAGGGAGGACCACATAAATGTTATCCTTCATTCTTACAAGATTAGAGGAGAGAGAAGAGAGCAAGGAAGAGAGTGTTCTTGAGTGCTACAGTAGAGCTCGAAAATGAAGTTGTATTCTTCTTCTTCTTCTTCCATTTTTGTATCAATGGAGAGCTAAACCTCCATCTAGGGAGGTGATGAAGCCTCCTCTTTTGATCATGTTCTAGATTAGGCTATACTTTTGGGGACTATAATGTATAATGTATGGTAGTTTCATAGTCTAAGAGCATATTCCTTCTTGTAATGAATTTTAATGTGTAAATGGTTGATGTAAGTTCATTGTCATATCTTTGATGATTCTTGGATCAATCTTGTTGCTTTTATTTTCATAGTGACAATGAAAATATAGACTATGAATGTTTTTCAAGGCATGTTGATTTTGAAACTTGATATTCCATTGCTTAGGTACCTCCTTTGATGGTTTATACTTGATTCCTACCTTCATGTGCTTCACCATTTGATTGAAAGCTTGATGGTCTTTTGTTTGAGATAGTGTATTTGATTCTACACCTTAGTTTAAGTAGTTCAACTATGGTTGCTTTTGATGGATCATTCTTGTTTTGATTAAGTGAACTTCTTGATGATTATTAAGCAACGGAGTTGCTTCATATTTCTTGACCATTGCATATATGCTATTTATCCCCAAATTTAGACCTAATCTAGCATGTACTTAGGGTGTAGTGTGGATTCATCTCCCTAGTCTTTTCTACTTGTATCTCACTTCTTCAATTTCATTGCAATCTATTGTTTTATGCATTTTAATTTCTTAGTTTAGTGACAAACACACAAACCCTTTATAAACCCCTCATCACTCTAAAATGACTTTAGATACTTAGGTTGCCTTAAGACTAGCGCAGTCCCAGTGGTTCGACTTACCCGTCCAATAGCCCTATTTTACAATGATTCGTGCTATTGCGAAGAGGGTTGATTTATAATTGATTTCGACCGTCGATCAATTTTTGGCGTCGTTGCCGGGGACTTGCATACGGTTTAGTGACCAAGGTTCTAGGATTAATTTTAGTTTGATTGTGAATATTGTGTTTTGTGCATATTTTTCGTGTGGTTTAACCATTTTCGTGTTGTAAGATTCTAGGGACTCGAATCTCGCCGTGGGAACGCTAGCAAAGCGTAAGTCTAGAGGACCCCAGGTAAGTTTCTTGACCTTTTAGTTTCACATTGTAAGATATCGTGCATGTGTTAAGCTTAGAAGTAGTTAATTTATTTGCAAGCCCTTGTTGAGGCTATATTATTGTTTTAATTCTGTGTATAAGCATCGGTCCTTGTCGTGGCCATTTATTTTCTGTCTTGATAATTGAGGAGAAAGGGAACATCGTATGTGGAGTTGTGGATAATGAATTGCTTTGTTGATTATATGCTATGCTGTTGATGTTCGGTCGTAGGTCACTCTCTCTACCCACAATCGATTCGCCCATTGATATCAATTCTCTTGAAAGAACTCTTAGAAGAAACCTTAGGGAATCTACTCTTACAAGGGATCTTGAAACTGAATTTAATACAATGGGAGATAATATAGGAAATCCGGGGAATGAAAGGGCTGAAATTCCTAATATCGAGCCAATGACTCGTAGAGATCATTTCATCCCTACCACCTATGCTTCTCCTTCTTGCATAGTAATGCCAAACATCGATGCAGCTCAATATGAGATCAAATCAAGCACCATCCAAATGCTTCCATCATTTCATGGCTTTGATAATGAAGATCCATATAAGCATCTTGATGAGTTCCTTGAAATCTGTTCGACCATCCGGTTGAGAGGTTTTCCGGACAATGCACTCCATCTCCATCTTTTCCCATTCTCCCTAAAGGATAGGGCAAAATATTGGTTGAACTCCCTCGCTCCCAATTCCATTACTTCTTGGGCTCAATTGCAACAAGAATTCCTTAAGAAGTATTATCCGGTGAGTAAAACCAACCAAATGAGGCATTCCATTCTAAGCTTTTCTCAAATTGATAGAGAACAACTATATGAGACTTGGGAAAGGCTACAAGATCTTCTTTTGAAATATCCTCATCATTTGATCCCAAAATGGCAATTAGTGCAAGTTTTCTATGCCGGCTTGACCGAAACCCATAGATTCATGGTTGATTCTTCTTGTGGTGGGATGTTCATGTCCAAGAATGCGGATGAGGCTTGGACCCTACTTGAGAATTTAAGCAAAAATTCACTTCAACATAATTCTCGTAGGGCTGCGACCTCAACCATTGCAAAGAACACCAACCTTTGTCAACCAAAATCAATAAGGGAGGAATCATCTCAAGTGGATGCCATCGCTCATAAATTCTACCAATTGAAGGCACCACATCTTCCTCCTTCATTGTCTCAAAATTCGGCAAGTTCAGTTTGTGCTTCATGTACTAGTCCATTCCATCTCTCGGAAGATTGCCCCACACCGGAGCAATTTCCCAATCCTAACCAAGAGCAAGCTAATGCCATGTTCTCAAGGCCCGGGCATAACCCATATTCCAATACATATAATCCGGGTTGGAGAGACCATCCGAATTTTCGTGGAGGCAACAAGCCCCACAAAATTCCCAATTTCAAAATCAAGGGCCTCAAAATCAGCCCTCTTCTCAATATCAAGGTAGGCCTTTCCAAGCCTCTTCAAGCTACCATCCTCCTTACAATCCAAATGTTTCCAATCAACCTCCTATGTGTCCAACTGACGAGATAGTAGCTGCAAACAAGCAAATGATGGAATCATTAAATAAGCAAATAATGGATTCCAACAAGCAACTCTTGACATCCTTGCAGCCTACTCTCCAAATGGTTCACTCTCATACTCAATCCATAGCTAATCTCGAAAATCAAGTGGGCCAAATAGCTAACTCGGTGAATCAATTGCTTCAAAAGGACAAGGGCAAGCTTCCCTCTCAACCTTTTGAAAATCCTAGAGGAATGCATGTGATTGATGAAACCCCTCCTCCGAGTGGGCCAACTCATGAACAAGTTCAAGCTATCACTACCCTTCGGAGTGGTAGAGTGGTTGACAACAAGGTTGATGGAGACACAAGTGAGAAAAACCCTCATTTGAAAAATCCAAATTCAAGCTCTTCAAGTCCAAATCCAAGCTCTTCTTGTCCAAATACCATTCACGGAAAGCCCACTCATGTCACCCCAAATGTGGAAACTTCTTATGAGCCAAAAGCTCCGTTTCCTCAACGTCTCCAAGAGTCGACACATTTTGGGAATAAGAATTGCAAAATTCAAGACATGTGGGAAGTTTTCAAGCAAGTAAAGATTAACTTGC